ATAAAATCCAACTTATACATAACTTTGCATAAGGAATATATGATACGACTTCTGCTAGTTTGCCTAATAGATTGCGTAAGTCATATTAAATGTTATGGTCCTGACAGATATGATTTTTGCGAGTTTTATTGTACAACCAAGTTAGAAACATTTCACATATTGTCCAGCAGAGGGAGCATAGCCTGTCCCTGCTCTGAGAGCATTTCAGCAACTTCCAAGAAAACGATATAAGGAGAGGTTGAGAATGGTATTAGGATCATTTGGGAGGACAGGAGGAAATGAGGGGATCATAAAGTTCTTATTGAGATTGGGAGAAATAATGCTGACATGATTTTAAAATACATTAACATATTAATAACTGGTCCATAGCTCCTGTAGCTCAGTGGTTAAAGCACTCGCCTCGCAAGCGAGAGACCTGGATTCTATTCCCGGCAGGGCGAAATGTTGGGCAAGTTTCTTTACTCCACACGCCTCTTTACTTAGCAGTAAGTAGGAACCCAGTTGTTAGTTGATTGGCGGATCGCTTTCCGGGGATAATATTCCCTCAAAAAAAAATTATTTGGTCGCTCAATCTACGAATGTTTGTGGGACACTGCTAAGTGCAATTGGCTGCTGCGGTTCGCCCACAAACATACAGACAATTCACTTTACAGTATATTATGTGAAGCACTTTGAGACGTCTAGAATACGTGAAAAATGCTATATCAAATGCAAGGATTATTATTATTATATCAATACTATATTTTTATAGTTTTTCATATTTATTGTGATGCAGCAAATATGATTTTATGTACAATTTTATTTCGAAAGAGACAAAAGTTCTAAATATTAACAGAATGTAAACGAAGACAGATTAGATACTTGATCATTGTTTTTGGCTGTTGGACAAAATAAATATTTTTTTAAATGTAGAAAAAGATACATTCATCTTTGTCAATCCACGAAGAAGCAATAACAGGAAAGGAAAAACCGGGGAAATTGTGTTGACATTCCAGTGGCACAATTCCACATATTAAATGATAATACTTGTAGTTGATACAGTTACTTAAGTTCAAATGTCTGAAAGGGTTTAACCCTACAGTGAATCACCCTGATGTGTTGACTCTTATATAGGGTTCTGGTTCATGGGGGTCACAGCTCTTCTGGGATTTCTGTTTAGAAAAGAGACACAATTGCAGTAAATGACCACTTGTCACTGCGTTCTCAGTAACTGACCATTGAATGCCATGATTCCAGTAACTAGATGGTGGGTGAACATCTTTGGATTGGGATTTCGGACCAAACCATTTTCCTGAAGTCGGGAGTGTATGCTGGGGAGGATTTGAACGAATTTGGATCCAACCCCTATGTTGGGAATTTTACCTCACAGTCCAGGCCGACACTCCAATATCGTGCTGTGGGAGACTTGTTGAGGTGCCTTTCTTCAGATAGAATATTAAATTGAGGTCTCATCTGCTTGTTCAGGTGGACATTGATGATCCCGTGGCACTATTTGAAAAGAGAAGGGAGTTTCTCCCGGTTTCCTGGCCAACAGTCCCCCAAATAATAAAAATTGGTCACTCACTGCATGGCTGTTTGTGGAACATTGCTGTGCGCAACTGACTGCCACATTTGTCTACAAATACACTTATTACACTTCACAGCAAAATCTGGTGAGGCTCTTTGAGACATCTCGATGAATGATAAGGCGTTATAGCAAATATAAGAATTATTAAGATTAACATTGAACACTTTAAACCTTTGTATCGTGTCCCCTTCAACTTATTTTCCAATGACCTCCTTACGATGGCGCAAAATTACTCTGCCTCTGATTTCATCTCTGGATCTAAAATGTTCTGAATGTATACATTACTTGGCATTTTATGTGGTTGTTCCCTGTTTAAACAGGTTGCCATATTCTGGGTTTGATTAACTTGGTCTTTTTCAAAGGGTATCTTAAATATCTTAAACCTTGACTTCCTTTCACTCATGTTGGTCCTGTGATGACAGCAGGTTCGGCTGCCAAAGGCGAGCTGTATGGTTTTCCTCCAGTTTTAGTGAATATAATGAACCACTGTGAATTTTTCTGGCAAAGGAGGCTTTGGGGTGACATCCTTTTTTTAAAAAAAAGGTTGTATTTTCTTGCTTTATCCTGGCCTGTGTAGTTATAGAGCAGTAATGAAATGTTCAGCCCTCCAACTGATCTGCCGACCACCTCACAGGGGCACTACTTTGCTCTGTGGACTCAGCACAACCAATGTACAAACCCTCTTTGTTATCTCTTCGGGTACTTTCTAGAGATGTAGGCAAGACAAACCAGATGCTGGGGTTGAGTTTAGATCCCCATATGTCACACTCAAGCTATATAGCGCACTCGTCAGCAGCGCCCAGGATACTGCATACTGTTCCAATCACTGCAATATCTAGACTCTACAGCCAGTGCAGAGGAGAGCAGCGAGGATGTTAGAGGAATAAGCTTAGAGCAATGATTAAACAAGCTCGGGATCTTCAATTTCGGAAGAAGACATCTCAGTGCGCGTCTTATAGCGACGACCTTACAACATGTTAAATGGGATTGAAAAACTAAACCCAGATCAATGCTTTAGGATACATCAAGACAGCACAACAAGATGACATGGGTTTAGATTTGTGAAAGGCAGGACAGACAGACACCAGGAAGGTTTTCTTCACCCAGAGGGTAATTAATGACTGGAACATGTTTGCAGGAAAGGTGTTTGAGGCCCGGATACTGGACTGATTTTAAACAATAGCTCGATGGGTGTTCTGGAGGGATGAGATCAAATGGGCAGATGGGCCTTCTTCATCTGAACCAATCTTGTGATCTTGCCATAGAGTGGAAGAAAATGTAAATCTAAGCCATAAAAATTACTAGTTTTGAATCTTTTGCATCCTTGATATTTAGATCTCCAACTAAATATTAACAGGCGCACAGTCAATTGACACGAGATGTACAGTGAGTAGAAACTATGTGGAACAGGTCAAATTGAATTCAAATAAAAGCCACAAAATAATGGCAACACACAAAAACGGAGAGATATTGTCACCAGCTTTATTGCTTGAGGCACTCTAAACAAGCCAATATCTTAATTATCTGAACTAGCTTAAATGACATAAGCAGCCTAACAAGATAAATAATATTGCACAATCTATCTGCTGAAACTCAAATGCACCAGAAGCAGGGAATTTCTCCTAGTCTCATCTTAAGATCTTAAAATCATAGTATCTAAATTTGTGCTTAATTTTAGAACATTGTTAAATTCAGCTTTATTTTGAAAGCCTGGTTTTCATACAATCTTCACAAACCACAACGAAAAACTGGCTTAAAAACTGAGAGTGAATTTAAGGATTATTATTAATTTTACAAAATTCCGACTTGAAAGAATGATCTTGAAGCTAAAACCCTGATAGATTTTGGATCCCATTTGAGACCAGGAAATCCTGCTAGGAGATAATGTCTGTGAGTGGTCATGGTGTCTTACCTGCTTTCTCAATTTTACAGTGAGATGCATCTTTCTTTATCCTTCTCCAGATATAGCCAGTGACTGATCCCAGGGTGTGCTCATGCCTCTGTCCATTTCTCCCACCAATCTGTCAGTTTAGCTCAGTCTAGTTGCTGTTCCCCAAAAGAGCTGGGAAATCAAAAGCGATGTCGTGGGGGAATGGGAGAGGATGAGAGAACCCAGTTTCTCATTCTATTTGTGTGGATAGGTTAAGGTATCAGACCTTTGACATGTCAGCCACCTCAGCGTATTGAGATACAGGGAATTCCTCTTGCTCACTCGGGCTATCTGATTGTATTTTGCTTGAGATTATTCTCAGGCTCGCTCAGCAAGCTTTCTGTAATCGGAAGCCTGTGGACATTGTAGGTGACAATGGTTGGTTGTGCTCTTCCTTTGCCAAAGGGGATGTGCAGGCAATTACCTCTGTACAGAGGTGCCCCTATTGGCAATGGCTCACTGAGGGAGATTAAGTGGAATGGTTTACTGTCCTAGAAACATTGTTTTCGTATACGTTTTTATGGGGGGGAGGGGGGTAATGCCAGCAATCAGGAAAATCATAAACTGAGAGCATGAGTTTCACACTTTTTTGCCAGGCAGCAGCTTAAAAATAAATGTAACACTACACTAAAAAATTAAGTTCAGAAAGCCGTTCTAGCGGCTAAAATTAAAAAAACTCGCTTTTGTTTTTAAAAATGTCACCGTTCCAGCACGGGGAGACCTGATGGATAAAACCATTCTCTAGAGGTGAATAATGATGAAGTACCAGAGCCAGGGGATCACAAGGTCTGTCTTTGTGGTAACTTTCGCTGGTGGATGATAATTAGCAGGAGATGTGAGGGATGGCCTCAATGGAGAATATAAATGCATTTAGGAAGAAGCTAGATATACACATGAGGGAGACGGGCATGGGAGGGAGTAGGGAAAAGGTGAAAACTTGTGGCGTGTAAATATCAGCATGGATGTTGGACTGATTAGCCTATTATGTGGTATATGGTCTATGTAACTCCATGACACACTTGTTCACAATAAAACACAAACTTTAGTGCAATCAACATGAAATTAAATCATCCTTTGGCAAACTATATCAAAATCCTAGCAATTAATCAATCAAAATACAGATTTCTGCTTCTTTTGTGCATTTGATCCAATTATACTCGGGAATCTGGGAAGAGCTGATTAGATGAAATGTAAAAGCAAAGTCCTCACATACAGTGACCATTCATTCAGGTCTTCTGATAGGTATTCCTCTGTATTCTGCGGTTTGCTCTGAGATGGTTGGTTCGCATACTCCTTGGTCATGTCTGATATTTGGTAAGTTAAAGTTTACTTACTACACTACACCCTGAACTCTCTGCCTCAATCTCTCCACTTGCCCCTACCTTTCCCTGAAGACTTTCCTCTTTGACCGTGCCTACGGTCAACTCCTCTCTCTCCCCACTCGAAGTCAAGCTCCAGCACTGTTAAACGCTCTGAGATGCTCACTACTCACGTGAAGAGCACTATATAAATGCAAGTTGTTATTATTGTTGTACTGGACTCAGTGAAAAAATGGCTTAATGCTATGATGGAAAGAAGGTAGGATGGTTATTTTGGAAAGGATGAAATCAAATGAGTTCCTTCATCTCGGATTTCTTTTGTGAGGAATATCAACCAATTTGTGTGTTGTTTTCTTCTTACAATTTTAACTGAGTTTTTCCAGAACTGAGGTGGGAAATTCTTGACAGTGTTACCCTGTAAGAACATTTTGTCTTAAAATATATGATTTTACAAAATGATGGAAAGTCTTAAATACAGTCTATAATTAGAAGCTGTTTCTGTTATATGAGCTGGGGAAAAGCAGCTTTCAAATTGAGATTTAAAAATCCTCCGTAATTCCGCATGATCTCAAATTTTAAGACAAAATGAAAGTTACAAGGCTAAGATTTGATGGAATTTTAGGCCTCATGTCTGTAAAATAACTTGGGTTTTACTTTAAGATATGGGGAATGTTACATTGCTGTTATTCGGTAACAACTTGGATATTCTTCTCTTGGATGTAGTTGAGCAGCAATTGAGACCTTCTCTCCACTGTGTGAACTAGCTTCTGTACCTCTTTGATCCCCTTGTGACTCTCCCAGAACTCCCTGTCAGCATACAGTGACCTGAGCAGCATGTCCCGAAAACAGCCAGATTTTAAGACCGAGACAGCGTGCAAAGGTAACCTGGGAAAGAAACAAATGCCTGTTAAATGTCTGTCAAACAAAGCACAAGCTACTGTCTTAGTCAACAGCCATACGAGAAAACTTGGATTTGGTCGTGAATTGAGAAATCTGGCCTATTGTTTTCACTGTATTGCTCCGATCTTTTCACTAGTTACATGGTGGCAAGACGGGATGCTCTAATCTGAACCACTGTCACGTTATGGGGTGAACAATGCAGTGTGTAGGTGTGTCAGTTCATCGCATGTTATGGTGTGTCTTGTTCACGCTGTGAGTTTTACTTTGCACTCAATAAGTTAAAACCTCTACTGGAGTGTTTCTCATTGTTCACACATTCATTTATACCTGAGGGTTTTCCAAAGTCCCCTTTCTTTGCTAAGTCAACAACAACAACACAACAACAAAATTACATTTATAGAGCGCCTTTCAAGTCGGGAAGACGTCCCAAAGTGCTGAACAGTCAGCTGTCGAGGCCCGAGCATGGGGGAGGGGTGGTGTAGGGGTGAGGGAAGGCAGAGAGGTGGGAGGGAGACCAAAGGCACGGTCGAAGAGAAGGGTCTTGAGACCGGCATTGAAGGAGGCAAGGGAGGAAGCGAGGCGAAGGGACCGTGGGATGGAGTTCCAGAGTGTGGGGGCAGAGAGGCTGAAAGCCCGGCCACCGATGGTAGGGCGGGTCGGGCGGGAGACATGGAGCAGGCCAGAGCCCGCTGAACGGAGTGAGCGGGCAGGTTGGTAGGGAGTCAGCAGGTCAGAGAGGTAGGAGGGGGCAAGGCCATGGATGGCCTTAAAGGTGAGGACGAGGATCTTGAACTCGATCCTCTGGGTGATGGGGAGCCAGTGGAGCCGGGCGAGGGTGGGAGTGATGGGGTCACGGAGCCTGGTGCGTGAGAGTATGCGAGCTGCAGAGTTTTGGATGATCTGCAGCTTGTGAAGGGAAGAGTTGGGAAGGCCGATGAGGAGGGAGTTCTCATAATCGAGCCTTGATGTGACGAATGTGTGGGTGAGGGTTTTGGCAGCCTGAGGGGTGAGGCAGTGGCGGAGTCTGGCAATGTTGCGGAGGTGGTGGTAGGCAGTGCAGATCATAGCGCAGATGTGGGGGAGATAGGACAGTTCAGGGTCAAACAAGACACCCAGGTTCCTGACTGGCTTAGTGAGGTGGAGTGTGCAGGCATGGAGGCTAATGCTGCCAGCGCCTGATGTGCGGAGGCGCTGGTGTGAGCCAATCAGGATGGCCTCAGTCTTGCTGACGTGAGTTGGAGAAAGTTGACCCTCGTCCAGGACTTGATGTCGGTCAGGACACCAGTAATCCTGGAGTTCAGGGTGGAGGCAGAGAGGTAGAGTTGGGTGTCATCTGCATACATGTGGAAATTTACCCCATGTCTGCGGTTGATGTCACCAAGGGGGAGCGTGTAGAGTCAAATTCAAAGTCAGAATGAACTGATGTATATTCCAGCAAAGTCTGTGCTCGTGTTGAGCAGAGCATAAATAGTGGGGTTTGCACATTCATTAAATGCCCTCTATAGCCATCGAATAATAGTCGCCACGTAGACAGCTGCTTCTTCAGCTGACCTGGATATGTACGCTATTCAGATTGTGCCGACTCTTTCTTCATACCTCGGTATCCGAGCCTTTGCCAAGAAAAGCATTCTGAGGACCTGTCTGGCAATCTCAGTATACACAAGAATTGAGTCAACTTTACTCTCCCTTTGTATAACGTTTAAACTACACCTGTCTGTCAAACCTGGGTGAGGTGGCTTTCAGTCAGAAGCAAAGTTAAACATTTAACAACAACGGGAAAGCACGAGTCAATATCCCTGCACTGATCATGCTATCGGGTTCTGCAAAGGAAAATTTAGTGCAGCCACAAAAGCATTTTCTTTGGCAGCTGGCTGTGTTGGCTCATGCTGCAAAAGTAACAGTGAGAGAGTAGCCTGGATAGGTTTATGCCACTCATTCCTGTTTACAGCACTCAAAAACTTGCGTTTCATGTAAAATAAACCTCTTGATTTCCCTCGCAAAATAAAAAATTGATTAGAAACAGAGTGAATGTTAATTCTATCAGCAAACATGAGAGCTAATCTGTGCCAACAAAGTCCCACAAACAACAATGAGACGAGCAACCAATTAATTTGAATCTGGGTGTAAAATTTGGGTGAAAAATATAAGACAGGACAATTGAAGAAAAATTTGTTATTTTGAAAAGTTGGCAATGGGAACGGAGTTGGGGTTAGGGGAGGGGAAGTGAGGGGAGGGGATAGGTTAACATTCACCTGAATCATAATGAATCTAAATTGAAGAGTCAATCAAAAAAGGGATGGTGTTCTGGAAAGGAATAGATGCCAGCCTGGCTTAGTTGATACACCCTTTCCTCTGAGTCAGAAGGTTGTGGGTCCATTGGTAAAGATGGATTCGATAAATCATTGCACAAAAAATAAAATGCTCATTCAGTCTGCATACGCTCTCATTCACTACCATGGCTGTTTGTGGGTCATTGATGTGCACAATTGGCTGCCATGTTTGCCCTTAAAACACACAGTCACTGCACTTTAAGAATATCCTGTGAATCTCTTTGGGACGTCCTCCCAATGTGAAAGGTGCTATACGAAATGTAACGATTACTTATTAATTATTATTATTAGCATATTTCATTTTAATGTTTTCCGTCCCAATATCTGATGAGAAAATTTGCACATGAATGAAAATCATTGCTGTTTGCGTCAATAATTCATTTGTATATATTTACATATTGGATTGCACAAGATGCATAATAGACCCCACTGGTACTCTTGTGTTTAATATTTTTAACTCATGAACTTGTAAAATAAATTGTGTTTAACATTGTCTATTATTATTGTGTTTATTATTGTCTTTGCCTAGTCCTCTTGATCTATCTGCATTAACCATTTCATTATTTCTGAACATACAGAGGACAAGTTTGCAGGGCTATGGGGAGAGAGCGGGGGAGTGGGATTGAATTGGATAGTTCTTTTCAAAGAGCCGGCAGAGACACGATAGGCTGAATAGCCTCCTTCTGTGCTGTATGATTCTATGATTCTATGAGCATATAGGGAGGGTGGTTCACACGTGCTGAAGGCTCTGGGTTCAAATAATCAATCTTCTGATTTTGATCACTACCGATTCTTTAAAGAAATTCATCTACCCTACAGGGCTACAGTAATCCCAGGCACGTTACCTAGCCTCATTGCTGGCTCATCAGTGAAATTGTAGACATGCCCCAATTGAATAAGTATGTGTGCATCAAATTAATCAGGTGTGTGGTTACAATCGTATAAATGTACAGTGCTGAAGGAGGTCTTTGACCCACTGAGTATGCACTGGCAGTCCGAGCAAGCTGTCCATTCAATATGACTCCCCCGTTCTATCCCTGTACCCATGCAAACTTTATCTTTCATGTACCTGACTACTTCCCTCTTGAAATCTTTAATTACCATTATTCATTTTCTGCTTTAGAATAATAACAATCCTTGCATTTGAAATAGCACCTTATCATGTCTTCGAGACGTCTCAAAGCCCTTAACAGAATACACTGTAAAGTGAATTGACTATATATTTTGTGGGCGAAACGTGGCAGCCAATTGCGCACAGCAGTGTCCCACAAACATTTGTGGATTGAAGTGACCAATTTATTATTATTATTTATTTTTGAAGGAATTATTACCCCCGTAACAGCTATCTGCCAATTGGCTAATAACTGCCAATTGACTACTTACTGCTAGGTAAACAGAGGTGTGTGGATTAAGGAAACTTACCCAACATTTCGCTCTGCTGGGAATTTGAACCCAGGTCACTCGCTTGCGAGGTGAGTGCTCAAACACTGAGCTACAGGACTCCTTTGGGACTCCTTTGAATATTCCAAGGGCTCTAAGTGTTATTAGGATTTGGGATGTTTTAGTTGGATGTGCATACATTTTATTAATCTGTCATGAAAACATGCTTACTCGTCAATGCCCTCCAACAGTCTGAAATTCAGGTTGTCCTCAGGCTGCAGAAGTCTCGCTGCATTGTCTATGTACACAAGCCGAGATGGATCTCCTTTTCGAACCTGAAAACAATGTAACAATTTGTGTCAATTAATAAGGGGCCACAAATCATGTCAGACAGTAGTTTTAGGATTTGGCACTATCCCATAAGGGTATTCTGTACAATTTATTTGACTATTACGGCAATTCTTCCCCCCCCACAAACAACAATGGTATGCAGAGGAATTGGTTGGTGGTGGAGAAGGGAAGTCTGGAGCTATTTTTGTCTACCAAGATGATCCTGCAATAGAAGTATTTGGCCAAGGAGAGGCAGAGATGGCAGGTTTTGGAATATCCAGACCAATGTGGCGTTGGAATGTGAAGCCAGATCTGAGTCAATTGCAAATGTACCAACATTGTGGAATGTTTCAACATGTTAACTGTGCTGCCTACATTTTTGACCTTAGCGCCTTGATAGAGGAACAACGTCGTTTTGGGGCTAATATCAGAAACATAGTGATTGAGGTACTTTTCAGGAAAAGTAAGGGGATGTTGTTATTCAAAGTTTCACTGCTCGCTGAGCCTTTGTACAAATAGGCTCCCGGTCCCAATTGCTTTCACCAGCTGAATATTTTTGACTGTAAAGCTAGTCAAGGCCTTTGTTTCTAGGTCATGGATTAACATCCTCCCACTTGCTCTATATTTATAGGCTATTCAAGAATCCTGGATATTTAATTGCTCTGTAGTACATTGTGATGCTTCTACCTGATCACGAAGACTAAGCAGGATCAGTGAAACCTGGAACAAGGTAAAGTGCACCAAGCAAGGTTCTACAATGATGTGTCCATTAGTTTTGTTGTGCTACCAAAATCGATCTGAAGGCTTTGAGAGGATAAATACTAAAAGATCATTCTTGTTGGTTGCTGCATCAGTAAAGAGGAGTCATTGGGTCAGAGGATTGTGGACGGAAGAGTTAAAGTTTCTTCATGTAGAGTGTTATTAGCAAATGAAATTATTGAAACTGAGACTACCACAACCTTAAAAAGGAAATGGATAGCTATTTAATGAAGCACAGTATTAAAGCATATAGTGAAAGAGCAGAAAACTGCGACTAAAATACTTAGCTCCAAAGGAAAAACTAACAACAACTTCTGCTGTCATTGTCATTCTATTCTGTTATTGTTATGTTCTGGTCAGCTTAATTCCTCTGTTCCTTAATAAAGCTCCAAAATTTCTTATAGCCTTACCTTAAAGACCATTCATTGCCTTGAATGTTAATACCAGTGATAATGATCACATCACACACCCCAATTGTGATAGTGATAAGGAATCATATCAGGGTTTCCTGTTGCTGCACGTCTGATTGACATACCAGGATGTGGACCAGAGCTTGTTCCTTGAGACTCCGACAGTTTTCACGCAGCAGTTCTTGCACACAGGGCTCTGAGGGTTCAGGGGAAAAACCACAGCAGTGTCGATCCAGCCGATCATGGACCTGAAGAAAGAAAAGCCTCATTTGTGAAATGTAACAAGACTAATACACACACCTGCGATGTGTCTGGAATACCTACACCTCTTTCAAAGCACTGTTGACTTGTTATGTTGTTCTTCCAACGGTTACATTATGCTAGAGGTGAGCCACCTTGGCACTGTAGCTTACTAATGCTGTCAGGCCTCATGGCTTTTCGAGTTGACTCACTCAGTGCTATTATCAGAACATAGAGAGCATGGAATGAAAAAAGGCCATTTGAGCCATCAGTCTGTATCATCCACTGGCTATACTAATCACAGACTCAACCCAAACCATTTCATCTCCCAAGGAAAGGTTCTGTAAATGTGATTGATTACCAAAACTCGAAAAGGAAAATAATATGGAGTCTAATTTGTGGTATTTCTTGATGGAATTTCTTAAAAAATTCCTATGAGCATTCCCAACAATTTGTTGGAAGTTGATTGCATTGGAGCAGAGTTGTAGTCAGTCAATGTGATGTACAATGGTTATTGGAAAGAGTTTTCATTCACAACACTCAGATTCCGTATTAAGAATTTGTGTTGATAAAAATTAACCCATAAACAACAAATAATAAAAAACAAAAGCACTGGAATGGGAAGCTGTAATCAAGAAGGCGAGGCAAGTACTGGGAAGCATTTTGGGGCATTTGATTATATGAGTATATCAAGAAAAGGTATACTAACTTTGTATTGTTCACTGCATGCAATATTGTGTTAGAGAGAGCTTGAATACATTAGGGAGGGCAACAGAACATGTCTATGATGATTCAAGGATAGAATTCTTCTTTGTTAACTTAGATGGGGGAAGCGGAATCTCGAATTCTGGCCCAAAAGTATTGGAGAAAAGGTTGAGTGACAACACATTGGAGGCTTTTGCAATGCTGAGTGAAACAAATCACTTAGATTTGCAGCTTGAACTCAATAATGTTGAGGAGTTCGACTACTTTATTTAAAATGTTGGATAATTTAATCGTCTACTCTTAAGGTTCTAAATCTCACTTCAAGATCTCGACTTCAAGACCTTCACACTCGTGTTCAAATCCCTTCACTCCCTGGCACCTCCCTGCCCCTCCAACCTCCTCACTCCCCAATCCATCATCCGGCATCTCCAGTCGACTGGCACCGGCCTCCTGCTCATCTCTCGCACCCTCCGCCCCATCATCAGAGGTCGTACATTCAGCCACTATAACCCGAAACTCTGGAACACTCTCCCTCAATCCCTCCACCTTGTCTCCTTTCTCCCCTTTTTCAAGTCCCGCCTGAGAACCTTCCATTTTGACTGTGCTTATGGCCACCTTTCACCACCCACCCACCCCACCCTGGTTCGGAGTCAGGCTCCTCCACTGTTGAGCGCTCTGAGACGCTGCCCTGCGGGACCAAAAATACAGTCACAGGTTCAAATTGAGTATGTTTCAGCTGCAAATTAGAATTAAATTCAAATAATTTTGCCTGATTACCTTTGGGAGTCATTTCTGACATTTCATAACAGAGTGGATGCAGATCACATTGGATCTGTTGTGAAAATATCACAAATTTACCTCCTTTGTTCCCTCCAGAGATTGGGTTGTTTGGCTGGAGTCTGTGACGGGACCTGTGTACCTGGTCAATGGAAGGAAGCCCCTTGATAGTCAAAAATGCTCTACCACATTTCATGTTTTCTAATGATCTGATGAAGCCACAGGAGCAATGTGGAGGAAGACCTGGAGACAGTGGGAGGCCATAAGCAGAAAGAGAGGGACTAAACATTGAAATTTACACTTGTAGGAACGTGCATTTTCACTGTTTGGTACAAGATTTGGGCTGTGAGCGTCTGTGATTACATTGAAGAGGCACCTTGGCCTTTTGAAGAAAAATGCATTAAGAATTAAGATATTTTAAAATTCTGCTGATTATCTCTGTTGATGTCTTAGATAAATAATGAATGTGCTGTTTATTTTGAAGTGGAACTCGATGGCGATTTCAGCAGGTTTGGTGCGTGACTGTAGGCACTGACCCACAGCAACTCACAGTGAAGGCCCTGATACAGATTCAACCACAAACATGTGCTGGGAATGTATACTTGCAAAATAATACATCAATGAGCAGCCACACATATGGCAGAAATCTGTTTACTTTGCGGAGCTTAATCCATGTCAAGTTTAAGTTACCCCACGATGATGCCCTTCGTGTGAACTGTTACATGACTATTTACATGTGTCTACCAGAAAGATAGGATAATACATCGAAAGACCATTGCAATCCAGTGACTTTTTACTCACAGGTCGAGCTCTCATTCACTCATGCCAAAGGCGAAATTATTTTTAATGTCCGCAAACTTAATGCATGACCTTAGAATCGCCTTTGATTGGATTACTGTCAGTAATTACTGTTGAGGAATGTGGTTGGCTTGGGGTTTAATTGCCTTTCCTCTTCAAAAGAAAACTAGATCCAGATGGAAAGCTGCTCAATAAATGTGAAATGTAGATACTATACTTAGAGAGTACAAGGGGCACAAACCTATTACCTGTTTTATTTCCTACCCTGCAACAAGCATCACTGCACTGAAACAAAATTAGGCTTCACATTCAGACTTGTGTTTACAAAGAGACATTTGGCAAAACTGGACTTTGTTGAAAATACAGTGGTTGTCAATCGCTGCACCAAATGCAATATCTGTTTCGCGATCACTCCTGACATTTCTCAGCTGAGAAAAGTCCGACAAAGATTAGAAAGCAAATTATTGGCTGTAGAGCAGCCTCTGAGAGAGTAAATTTCTTTTCAGTGAATTTTTTGTTAACAAATCTCTCAACTTGAGTTATGGCCTGGAAAATGCAATTACTACAGCGATATATGGTTTGCGAATGCTGCATTTTCAACCACATTAACTTCATTCAGCGGCTGCTGAGCTAATAATGCCCAGATTTTACAGCTTCATATCTTAGCATTCTAGGTTAGATCAACCAACCAACTATCGAACATCAACAATAAGCAGTTAGGAACCTGAATGAGGTGGGAGTAAGCCCCATTATCCTTGTGGTAATATAGGGAGCAAATCAGATATAAAAAGAGCATCTGGAGGAGGGTGGAATTGAGAAATCCCTGATTCAGTGAACAGCGATAGACATTTCTGGTGGAGGAGACAATAGATCAAAAAATCAATTTGGATAAAGAAAGCCCTTTGGCCCATTCAATTTCATCCTTCCAGAACACCCATCCTACTGTCTTCCCATCGTAGCCAGGAAGTCAAACATGTTCGGAAATGGGATAATCCTCACCCATGTTGGGGTGGGGGGGGGGGGGGGGGGGGTGCGGGGCGTGAGGGAGGGAGAGGGAGTTGCTCTTGTAGCAAATACAATAATCATTTTTGAAACATTTCTAACGATTAGCAAGTAGTCACTGGAGGAGAAAGCCACATCCACAAAGACTCAAGATCAGTATAATGGTACTCCAAGGCTATCTGCTCCTCTACTCTAGCACCATTTGAGACACATTTCCTTTCTTTGTTCTTCTTCTCAAAATGCACTACATTCTTCTATATTGAATTGCATTTGCCACCTGCCTGCCCCTCCCCTAATCTATCTATGTCCTCCTGTAGACTCTGGTGATAGACATGCCCACCGGGAATCCTGTCTTAACTCAACAACAAAAATCCAAGTTAACTCAATGATTTGCACTAATCCACAAGTCTGCTCCAGGCTCAACCATTGTGACAGAGTCAGGCGTGAGGGAGAGGAAAAGCCACTTTTATTATCACATTGCTAAAAAGTAAAGTTCAGCCCCATCTTTAATTGATCACATTTTTGGGAGTTAACAGCACATGATTTATTGCATTCCCTGTGGACATGTCATCTTTGTTGTCACTGCCTCTGGTTGTCTTTCATTCCCGCTTCAGTAAATACTAGCGCAACTCAACACTCTGTAAGTTTTGCGCAGTACCTTACAGCGCTGTACACTGAAGGCACAGTCCAGACTATGGGCTCAGAACCTGTGGGTAAAGTAAAAGTACACACACTGTCTGTGGTGCAGCAGTGCTCTGCACAGGTAGAATGCTGCTGAGGAAATGTGACATAGCTTGCTGAAATTTCATAAATATGCTGGAAAACTCACACAGTTCAGGGTACACGATAATTTTTCAACTGGCTGACAATTCACAACTGAACGCTTTCACCAGCTGTAACTGCGAGAGTTCAGGAATCTACTCTTCCCTGTGTAAAGGAGATTCATACAACATATCGCTCTGCAGGAGTGTTCAGGTTTAAGTGGTGCGTTCTGCCACGTGATATCAAGTAAGTCTGCTCTGGTGTGGCACCTTTACTTGTGCATTTCTGCAGCTTAGTTGATGTCTCTGCAGTATTTCTGCAGTGACACGCTTCAGAGCTTTCCTTTGCTTTGTCTGCAAGTTCCAGTGACTACTATTCTAAGTGGCGACTATGCTTTATGTCTGGTCCTTGCAGGTGGTGTGGGTAATAAGGTAATTAACACATTGAATCAGATAAGAAACATTTGCTTGCAAAGTACACAATCACTACACTTTACGGTAAATCCTGTGAAGTGTATTGAGACATCCTCTTGACAGAAAATGCACTCTATCAAATGCAAAGTTTATTATTATTAATAATTTAGAATTTATTGTGCCGAGGACAAGGTGGGGAAAGGAGGGCTTACACCCCGCAGTCAGGCTTTAGTTATCAGCTGGCAATAGGGTGATGTTTCTTAGCAGTTTTGATTAACACATTCATGGGCTGTGAAGTAATACTGCAATTTTGACTGCTTTGTGTGAAGTATTTACTCAGTGCTCACTGTCGAGCTGTCCTGCCTTTTCCACTTCTTTCATATAAACTACACAAGCCAACTGCACTGAATCATATTTGACATATTTACACCTTAAAAAAGCAGCTCTCGTTTGTACGGATCCTGAATTCCTGAGAATAAAACTGTCCCACAGCTGTCATGGTTCATGTGGAGTTTTGCATGTTGAATATAAATGTTAAAAATATTTGTTAG